AGGCACCTATCATTGAATTTACAGTAAGCAGCTATATTTTAGAACAAGAACAACGGAGATATGAATAAATTCCTCCTCACCACGCATTAGCATCATCACACCATGAACAATGTAAAGGAGAATAAATATCCAACAGGAAAACATAAGTTGGGGTGTTGTGCTGACTGACTGCTCTGTTCTCCACATCGATATTTGCATTTACATTTTAGTCCACCAATCACAGTTATAAGGGATTGCTGGACGTATGCAATATGTATGACACCACCACCAAAGCTGTAGGTCTCCACGTAGGGACGCCTCTGTAGGCACCTGGGAAAGCCCCTGAGGGTAAAGTGCCGCCCTGGGGCGCCACCACCTCTGGAAGGTCCCTCGGAGCACTGCTGACCCTGAAGGGAGACCTTAGCATCGCTGCCCATAAGAAGAGCCCTGGTGGCGATGCTACCCCCCTTGGCGTGCCCATGGGCGCCACCACACCTGAGACTCCTGGGGCAACCAGTGCCCCTGAGGAGAGCCCCCAAGGATGTTACCACTGGCGTCCCCTGGGGTGACGTTACCCTCAAGGTCCCATGGGGCAACGTTACTCTGGCGGGCACCTGGGGAAACGTTACCCTTGGAGGGCCCCTGGGGGCGCCACCACACCTGAGAGGTCCCCTGGGACCCGGTGCCCTTGAGAACCTGTGGCGCCACCACCTGGGAAGGCCCCCAGGTGCCACCGCCCTGGCAGGGATCCTGGGATTGCCGCCACCCTTTCAGGGCCCTGGTCGCCGACACCCTTGGGAGAGCCCCAAGATCGATGCACCTGGTAGGGCAATGGAAGTGCCCCAGGGCGCACTATCACTGGATTACCGTGAGGGCAGTTGTTGCACATTAGAACAATGGGAGATATGAATAAATCTACCCCATCGACCCAGTATCATCACACCATGAACAATGTAAAGGAGAATAAATATCCAACAGGAAAAACATAGTTGAGGTGTTGTGCTGACTGACTACTCTGTTCTCCTATTACTGATATTTATTTACATTTTAGTCCACCAATCACAGTTAAATGTGATTGCTGGACTATGCACACGCACGAAACTACGACCTAAAGCTATATGTTCCAGGTAGTGGAGGCCCTGGTAGGGCCCTGGGAGGCCCCAAGGGACCGCTGTCGCCCCTTGGCGCAACTGCTTTGGATGCCCCTGGGGGCACCGCTGACCCTGAGGAAGCCCCTGGGGCATCGCTCCCTAAGGAGAGCCCTGTGGACGACGTTACTCTTGGCGGGCCCCTGGGGCGACGTTACCCTTGCCGGCGCCTGGGGGCGCCACCACACCTGAGAGGCCCTTGGGGCACCGGTGCCTCTGGGAGGGACACTGGGCGCCACCGCACCTAGAAGGCCCCTGGGTGCGTCACCCAGGTAGGGCCCCTGGGGAGCGCCACCCTTGCCAGGGACCCTGAGGGCACCGACACTCTGTCAGAGCTTCCCTAAGAGTGATTCACCTGGTAGGCACATGGAGGGACCTAGGGGCAACTTATCACTGGATTGACCTAGGGGCAGTTGTTTTGACATTTAGAACAATGGGAGATATGAATAAATACTCCCCCATCGCATTTACAGTATCATCACACCATGAACAATGTAAAAGAGAGAATAAAATATCCAACAGGAAAACATAAGTTGGGGGTGTTGTGCTGATTGACTGCTCTGTTCTCCTATTGGCTGATATTTGCATTTACATTTTAGTCCACCAATCACAGTTAAGTAAGGATGTGCTGGACTAATGCATAGTACGATTAATTACGACCAAAAAGCTGTAGGTTTCCAGGCAGGGGACGCCTTCCTGTAGCGCCCCTGGGAAGGCCCCCAGTGGTACCGTCGCCCTTGGGGCGCCACTGCTTGGATGGTCCCCTGGGGCACCAGCAGCCCTGAGGAGGCCCCTGGGGGCATCGCTGCCCATAAGGAGAGCCCTTGTGGGCGTCGTTACCCCTGGCGGGCCCCTTGGGCGACGTTACCCCTTGGCCGGCGCCTGGGGCATGACACCTGGAGAGGTCCCTTGGGGCACCGGTGCCTCTGGGAGGACATTGGGCGCCACCGCACCTGAGAAGGCCCCTGGGTGCGTCACCGCCCCAGGTAGGGCCCTGGGAGCCCGCCACCCTGCCAGGGACCCTGAGGGCATCGACACCCTGTCAGAGCCCCAAGAGCGACGCACCTGGGACACATGGGAGGACCCAGGGG